GATGGCGCAATCCCTCGTCACCAAGTGGAGCTTGACGCTATATCGAAAATACCTCGGTCAGAATCCGACAGACATGGCCTTGAGCATAGAGCGGGCGTGCCTGATCGTAATCTTCTAGCTGAATCGGACCACGCGCCACCAGCTGATTTGTTTTTTACTTGGCATGAACGCGAACTCCTGGACTACGACAGACACTGTGGCCAACTGGTTCAGGGGCCTTTCGGTTAAAAGTGAGTCCAGCCCTTGGGGGCCGCAAGTGCGTCAGGGCAAATTTCCGATCGTGACGGTTCAGGGGGCCAGGTTGAAAGCTGCGGACAAGATTCTTGGGGCCGAGAGTTGGGCCACGTCTCATGGTTATCGTTTGTCTCTGGGCAAGGCGTTGGCTACTGGGAGTGGGCCTTTGCAGAGCTCTGGAGGAGTAGGCATCTTAGTGGACTCTCAGTTTGGGTCTAGCCACCTGGTGCTCCCAAGTCTTGGGCAATTTGACGGCCGCATAACAGGCAGGCTTATCAAGATTGGGTTCCCGGCGGGCTTGGAGGTCTACAGTGTCTATCTCACCAGCGACATAGGTGTCGCAGGGGAGAATTGAGAGATCCTTGAGATTCTAGGTGCGATCCTGCTGTGTAGCACGCGTGCCTGGGTAGTGCAAGCCGACTGGAATGTCACGCCTGATGCCCTGGCGCTGTCGGGTTGGGTCGAGCACGTGCACGGCGTCCCGGCTGCCCCCGATTCGCCCACGCGTTTGCCTTCGCAGCGCAGTCAGCAGGAGGGAGGAGAAGGATAGCTCGTCGTTCATGACAAGGGAGGTCGAATCTTGGATTACTTTGTTGTGAGCAAAGCGATTGCTAGCTGCGTTGGCGAGGTGCAGGTAGTTAGCGAGGCGCCGCTTTTTCCCCGCAGCCCTGTTGTCTTGCGGATGAGAGACCTCAGCGCGTCCACGATCGTGGACCAGCAGGTGCGTTTCAGGCCGTTCGACACGGCGGTAATGGGCCCGCCTCCCAGAAGAGCACGCAGTTGAGGGGTCAGATCCCGTCGAGCACGGGTTTGATTGGCTAGCAAAGGAGTGGTTTTCTGAGGCTGAGCGTCGTCTTTTGGAGATTCATGGGATCGAGGACGGCGGGGCCTATGTTGGCCGCGCGGCAGGGCCCAAAACAAAGAGGGCCCCTCTTTCGGCGCTGCTGGAACAGAAGGTCTCCAAGAAGTGTTCGGCGAAGGTTTTCGACGCAGGCAGCTTCCTGGACGGTTTTCGGGGCCCTGATCAGGAAAAGCGAGCACGATCGCCCGCGGGGCTCCCGGGGCCAAGGGCAAGCAGCTCCTCGGCGCCTGGGGCGCCGAGCTCAAGGCCATCATCCAGGACTTGGATTTCCAGGGCGGCAACGTGAGCCAGACTTTCTCTCCAGGGATGGTCGTCTTGGCAACCTGTTCGGGGGCCTTTGAGGACGGGGCCTTGGAGGCGCTGGACACTGAGATTGCTCGTCGTCAAACGCTGGGCGCGGCGGAACAACTGGCCAAGTGGAAGACCTGGGCCCAGAAGGCTGTCGCTGGAGGGGGCAAGGCCGCCCACGCTTTTTCGAAGAAGCAGGTGTCGTGTCTTTCTGGGCGCGGCGGCGGCGGTGAAGATCTTCCAGTGGCTGGACAGGCCGCGCTGCGTCAGTTATTGGATCAGTGGGTCCCCATGTGGCAAGTCGACGGTCGTGGGCCTCACCCCCCCCGCTTGGGAAATACCACCAGACGAACCTGACCTCGCCCCCCTTCGGCTCGCAGACTTGCTCCGGGCGTGCCGCAAGTACAGTCCAGGTGCTGGATTAGGCTGGGACGGTTTTTCACCCTAGGTGGGTCTTGCAGTTGCCCGAGAGTCACCAGATGCGCATCCTGGAGATTTTAACGTTGTTCGAGGTTGAGCCTGCCTCGGTACTCATGTTCCTGACCAACGTGGTTTTCTTGGGCAAACCGACGAACGGGGTGCGGCCTATTGGGCTGTTATGTTTCTTCATGAAGCTCTGGAGTCGCCTGAGGCAGCCATATTGTAAGGCTTGGGGGAAATCGCACGTGTTCCAGTTCTTCTGGGGATCAGGACCTGACGCGACGTGTGAGCGAGCCGGGTGGGTCCACAACCTCTTGGGGGCCCACTGTAAGGCCTCGGGGTTATTCTCGGCATCGGCCATCCTGGACTTAGCCAAGTTTTACGAGAACGTGGTTCGCGAACACTTTCTAGCTGCTGCCAAGAGGTTCCACTTTCCTGTCAGAGTTTTGCGGGGGTGCTGCTGTATCTGCGCTGGCTTCCGCGTGCTCCTTTACGGTGGGGCAGCCTCGGGGGTACCTTGCGCGAACGGTGCAGTAGTAGCCGGTTGCTCAGGAGCGACCACCTTCGCCAAGATGCTGCGTCCAGGCCCGTTGCTGGAGGCACGTGAGCACAGGCACCTGTTGTATATGCGCAACGTCGTGGACGATATCACATTGCAGACATGTGGGCCAGAGCTCCAGGTCGCCACGCATCTGGCAGGAGGAGCGGAGTCGTTGTTCAAGTCATTTAAGGAGTTGCAGCTCCCAGTCGAGTTTAAGAAGTGCGCCTACCTCTGCACCAGGGAGGTGGATCAGCATCTGCGCGGGCTCTGGACAGCGCCTGCGACATGCAGAACTGATTTGACCAGGAACTTTGGGACTAACGCTACTCATGGAGGAGTTCGGAGGATCAGCATTCAGAACACTCGGCGTTCGAAGGCGTCGTCCAGAGCCCGTCGGCTGAAGATTTTACAGAGCGCAGGTGCGGATATATCCATGGTGCATCGTATGGGGCCCACTGCAGTGGCTTTATGGGGCTCCAGTGTATCGGGCATCGCACCGACGCGAATGGCAGGGCTCAGAGTTTCAGCTGTATCATCTTTGGGGCGCCTACCGCGCGGGGCCTCTGCGGGGCTCAGGATGTGCACGTACGACCTGGGGCCCAAGATCGACCCTTTGATAGTGTATGTGGGGCATGTGATATTCATGTGGGCTGCGGCGATCTGGGAGGCGGTCCCGAATGCGCAAGTTCTGGCCAATACGATGCAGGGTAGCCGGCTTGAGTCGTCTAAGATGGATCATCCTTGGCGCAGCTGTGCATCACCTTCGGATGTGGCCCTGCTCGGTCTCAGGGGCATAGGCTGGGACTTTAAGGACAGCAGCCACATCGTGTCGGACCTCGGAGTCGAGTATAACCTGTTGCAGTTGTCCCCGATGCCAATCCGAGGTGTGGTTAGGCAAGGAGCATCTCGGGAATCTGATCGTAGCACCCAGAACGGCCCGATTGGGCCCCCGCTGGCCCCCATCTTCTGGAGTGGCATTCGGAAGCTGACGAAAAGGAAGGGTGCATCTTGGACGAAGCATCACCAGAGGTGTCTCCGAGGTCTGGTTTCAGGTGTTCACTGGCCTCAGGCGAGGCTGTGCAATCATGGGCTGCATCCAGACCACCTTTGTCAGCTCTGTCGAGGAGCACCTGGTACGTTGTGGCACCGTCAGTACGAGCGTCCTGCTCGCGAGCCTCTCCGCAGAGATCATGTAGGACACAGGCTGAAACCATGCGCAGCGCGAATAAAAGACCTGCCCATCCTCAGTGAGAGGTTCGCTCGAGGGATATTTCCAGATCCTCAGGCCCTGTTCGAGCTCCCAGAGGCTTGCGAGAGCATTCGGTGGCACAGCCGTCCCTCGTCAGGTGTGCTCTCAGGACTCCTGTTCCTCGACGGGTCCGCCAAGCGGGCCAACCTGGAGGGCATGTCTGGAGCGGGGTGGGCTATATGCAGTGTAGATCGGTTTGGGCATCTGATATCGGCTGTATATGGCGTTGCACCTGTGAGTGCCGCTCCCCAGCAGACCAGTAAGGATGGGAAGGGCTATGCTGCATGTATATGCTGACGCAATGTGGTCTTCCCCCGTTTCAGTTGTATATAGACTGCCAGTCAACCCTGGATTCCTTGGCCAACGGTCCTGGGTGCTCCGTGGGTCTTGGGGCGCCGAGGGGCCACCTTGGGGGCCCGTTCTGGTCCGCGTTTGGCCAAGGGGACTTCGAGGCTTTTAAGGCGAAGGCCCATGCGACGGCCTCTGACGTCGAGTCTGGGGTCACCACGGCGTGGGAGCAGCGTGCGAATCAGCATGCTGACACCTTCGCCAAGGCTGGCGTCGATCTGCATGGGCGGACAGATGATGATATGTACTTGTGGCGTGGCTTACGGAGCCTGGCCATGGAGGCTGGGAGGTGGGCGGCCGACTTGAGGTGGCCATCTCGTCTCTGCCAGGGAGGGGCGCGACTGGCTTGGAGGCCTCAGCCGTGGTCACTCCGTCCCCAGCGCCTGCTGCCGCCGCTGCTGAAGCCGACCTCTCCAGCCAGACCATGGCCGAGGATGGGCGGCCCTCGGTGGAGGGGGAGGACCTGGGGGATTGGGAATCGTCTGCTCTCCTGGTGTTCCGTGTCAACGGCCATGCCCTGTTTGGGGCTAAAGTTTTGGATGCAGTTGGGAACACCAAGGGGAGGCTTCAGTTCTGTGTAAAGTGTGGTAGCTTTTGCTCGGGGCGGAACCCCTCGAAAGGATTGCAAGGCCCCTGTAGACCCAAGACGGGTGCCACGGGGGGGCCCAGCGATCAGTTGAGGAGAGTTCGTCAGTCGAAGTTCCCCTTGTATAAGCATGACCTGAAGGGACTGCTCCTTGGGCCCCATGTGGGCCTCTCCCTCGTCGAGCGGCGGACTCTGGCTGATGCGCTGAAGTCGGGGGGTCCTGGGGCCCCGCGGGACAGCCATTCAGGTAAATTCGACTCCCAGGGCGGGTGCGCCTGCAGGGAGCAGGTTTTGGATTCGTTCGGGCTCGTGGAAGCCGACCTCGCTTGGGTCAGAAACCGTGGCGAGGCTTTTTCGCGTCCCAAGGCCCCTCTCGAGGAGGAGACCGATTCGGACGCTTCCGATTTTGTCTGATCTTGGATCTGTGGCCTCAGGCCCGTCCCCAACAACCTCCCCTGGTCGTCGTCTTCGCCGTCGACCTCCTCGTGCGGAGGAGTGAGGAGGATAATCAGGAATATGGTTGTGAACGTTCGGGAGGCGCGTGTCCATACGCGTCCCTTGTGAACGTTCGGAGAGTTCGACTATATTAGATTTGATCGCGATGATGCTGCCAGTTCTTGCGCAACGTTTCGCTTTCACGCGCGTCCCGTTCATGTCAGGAAAGGTACCCGGAAAAATTGCCGTTTCGCTCGAGACATCCTCGGCAAATCGGTCCCGGAGGGGAATCCGAATCAACATCGTCTTGGAATCGCTCTTGCAGGGCTTTCGAACGCCCCAAAGGAGACCCAGAAGACGCCCTGGAGGACCCCAAGAGCGCCCCAGGAGGACCCCAAGAGACCCCCAAGAGGGCTCCAGGAGGCACCCAGACAGCTCAGGAGAGGGCCCCAAGAAACTCCCGGGACCGACCCAGGAGGCCCCCAAACGGCCCAAGAAAGACCCAAGACGGCCCCAGATGGCGCCGAGACGGCCCAAGAAAGCTCCCAAAGAACCCCACGACGCGCCCAGACAACCCAAGAAGACCCCAGAAGCCCACAAGAGCACGTAAGAACCCCCCAAGAAGCCCCCAGCAGGCCCCAAGACAACCCCGCGCGGCGCCAGGAGTCCCTAGGGTTCACCAGGACCTTCTCGTGATTCCACGTCCTTTTCCAATCGCCTCTTACTGTCCTCCGTCGTCAGCGTCGTCATCGTCCTCCGCATTCCTCCTCGTGCTCGCACTCGTTCTCTTCGTCCTCGTCCTTGTGCCCCAAAAGCCTATTAAAGCGGCGCTTCCCGATCTTGTCCGATCAGGTTTCTGAAAAATGGCCGTTTCGCTCGAGACACCATCAACAAATCGGCCCCGGAGGGGACTCCGAATCAACATCGTCTTAGAATCGCTCCTGGAGGGCTTTCGAACGCCCCAAACGAGGCCCAGAAGACGCCCCGGAGGGCCCCAAGAGCGCCCAAGAGCGCCCCAAGAGGACCCCAAGAGACCCCCAAGAGCGCTCCAGAAGGCACCCAGACAGATCAGAAGAACCCACAGACGGGCCAAGAGGGCCTCAGAAAACTCCTGGGACCGACCCAGGAGGCCCCCAAACGGCCCAAGAAAGACCCAAGACGGCACCAGATGGCGCCGAGACGGCCCAAGAAAGCTCCCAAAGAATCCCACGACGCGCCCAGACAACCCAAGAAGACCCCAGAAGCCCACAAGGGCACGTAAGAGCCCCGCAAGAAGCCCCCAACAGGCCCCAAGACAACCCCGCGCGGCGCCAGGAGCCCCCAGGGTACCCCAGTAGGGTCACCATGACCCTCTCCTGATTCAACATCCTTCTCCAATTGCCTCTTACTATCCTCCTTGTCTTCTCTTCCTCCTCGTTGTCTTCATGCTCCCCCTCGCTATCCTCACGTTCTCCACTTCGTCCTCGTCATCGTCTCCTCGTCGCCCTCGCCTTCCTTTTTCCTTCTTCGCCGAACACGCCCATTCGACTAAAGCGGCGCTTCCCGTTCTTGTTCTATCAGGTTTCGCAAACCACATGGGGAGTGCTAAAAGGGGCCTTGCTCTCGAGGATCGAAGGCGGAAGGCTGGCGGAAGGCGGCGGAAGCAAAAGTCGAGCTCCCAAGAGATGACCACGTTTTTGGAGTCAGGGTTTCCGGAGCCCTGTTTCATGTGGCCGGCATAGCTACGTATTTTTGCCGTCCTAAGGCACGCGAGGTATACGCTGAAGCTCGGCAGTAGTCTTGACAATGTGCGGAACCCCCATGCAAGGGTCAGAGGTCATTCCGTTTGCAATATTGCTTGCGCCTGCGTTGGGGGGGGGGGAACATTTGGCTTGTTCTCGCCTTTCGCCAGCGCCTCTTCGGGGGCGTTCTAAATAACGCCTTGCTTGCTCGTTTTAGTGAACGTAGTGTGGCTCCACACGCATTCGCGACTGCAGCCTATGCCAGTACTTTGCCTGGGGGGCGAATAGGGGGCCGTGGAATGGAGTGGCGGTGGAGCACGGACTCGTTTTCAGTCGGTGAACGCAGCTCGTGCAGTCATTCAACGTGTTTTTCCTGTGCCCCCCCCCCCAAAGGGGGGTCGCGGGGTGCCGCTATTTATCACGTGTGCGTAGGTAGCAACCCGCAGATGCGGATATGAGCGAGGGGGGCGGTGGGGACGTCGGCAGTTTGCGAGACTCTGGAGAAGCCCGCCGCAGGCGCCAAAGTTTCACAAATTATACAGCGAGCCCGCCGCAGGCGCGGATTTTTTCTTTAAACCAATGTGGATAGATCGCGGGTGGGTGGGTCGCTGTTGGGTCGCGGGTGTAGAGGGCAGAAAATCCACCCCATAAGAATCACCCCGACAAGCGAAGCCGTTTAGTAAACGCACGCAAGGAATGAATCGAACAGGGCAGGGCTGTTTAGTAAACGCCCAAGGCCGTTTAGTAAACCTCAATTGTCGGGTCCGGGTGGTTTTTCCTCCCTGGAGGGTGGGTCGCGGCGTGGGTCGCGGGTGGGTCACGGGGTGGGTCGCGGGTGGGTCGCGGGTGGGTCGCGGGAGGGTTGCGGGGTGGGTCGCGGGTGGGTCGCGGGTTGGGTCGCGGGTGGGTCGCGGGTGGGTCGCGGATGGGTCGCGGGGTGGGTCGTGGGTGGGTCGCGCGCGGGTGGGTCGCGGGTGGGTCGCGGGGTGGGTCGCGGGTGGGTCGCGGGTTGGGTCGCGGGTTGGTCGCGGGGTGGGTCGCGGGGTGGGTCGCGGGTGGGTCGCGGGTTGGGTCGCGGGGTGGGTCGTGGGTGGGTCGCGCGCGGGTGGGACGACGACAACAATCATCAACAACAACAACAACAGCAACAACAACAGCAACAACAACAACGCAACAAGCAGAATTCTCACCACGAATTCTTTATTCAGACACGCCCCCAGGGACAATGAATGACCGTTCGGCCCCCTCACTCTGATAATTACATTACGCGTGGTTCATGCGCTGTTCAATCGCTCCGCTCACTCCGCCGGCCCATTTTGTATCACTGCGAGCGTTTTTATTCATGCTGTGAAGTGTCGAGGGTTAGAGGCTTAGGCCACGAGGGGTCACACGAGCGCACGCAGGGAGGATGACCCGTTCCTGTGAAGTTCTGTATGTGCGGGGGGGAGCTGGAGTATTCGCGGAAGTCTCTGCGATGAACCCAGAGGCTCATTGGGTGTCTCAAGGGTCCTTTCAGTTTGTGTAGTGGGCCATTTGGGACCATATTGGGGGGGCTACCTTGGGTTGGTATATCCAATGCTCGTTGTCTTCAGGCGTTTCTGTTTCTTGTTTGGCGCGGTGTCAGAAACAGCCTGTCTGTGAGGGTTCGATCTGAATGTTCAAAGGCATGGAACTAGGTGGACTGCGTGATTCGGAATCGGTGTGGCGACTTGGCCTCCCGTTGTCTCCCGTTGCCTCCCTTTGGCGCCCGTTGTCTCCAGTTGCTTCCCGATGTCTCCCGTTGCTTCACGCTGTCTCCCGTTGTCTCCCGACGTCTCCCATTTTCTCCCAGTGTCTCCCACTGCCTATCCGTATCCTTATCCCTATCTCTTTCCCGATCCTTATCTGTCTGCCTCTATACATATCCCTTTATTGTGCTCCCGTCCCCGTCCCTCTCCCAATATCCCCATCCATACAATATCCCTAGCTCTGTCTCCCTAGCCTTATATCCCTGCTCTTATCCCTATCCCTATGTCGATCACCTCATCGTGGCCCCCCATCGTGACCCCCATCGTGGCCCCCATCATAATTATATAAAGCTGTTGAGGTTTTTCTGCCGCAGAGGTGTCATCTTTTTTTTGAGGCGTGCCTGTGTCGTGGTTGGCGCGTTGTCTGAGATCTGCTGTGGCGCTCCTGGAGTCATCGGCTCCAGATCGCACCTCTTCTGGGCTCCGCCTGGAGATATCTTGGGCGATGGTGGAGTCATCTTGAGACCTCAGAAACCCACAGGACACGAAGAGAGGATACATCTAATTGATAGTATACTTATGTTGGGGGCTCCTTGGAGCCTCTTGAGGGGTTCCACGTAGCCACCCAGGGGCCTCCTCAGGGCTGTAGCCATCTTGAGGCCAATGGGAAACAAAAAGGCGATCGGTTCTAAACTCATAAACACATGTGTTGTTTGGCGTGGCGTTGGCAAATTGGGAGCTCTGGGATTTTGTCTGTCTGGGACCATCCGGGGCCATATCGTGGCCATCCTGGGGCCTGCTACCCATTGATGCCCGCTCCTGGGTTGCTGCTGGGTTCCCTTGGAGCTCCGTTTGGGGCTGTCTTGAGAGCCCTGAGAGCCACGCCCAGGAGCAAAACCATGATGACGCGACCTTGCCGGGACCTTGCCGGGACACCTTGCCGTTCTATTTGTTTTCTTTCGCGGCTCCCCCCAGGGCCTTCCATGTTCACGCGACCTAAGCAGCACACGACTACTCGAAACATCTTACCCGAAATTCCACCACACCTTTGGCCCGTTGGGCTGGCGAATTTCTCTATGCCTATCGCATGTTAGAGGCTTGCACGGCGCCCCTCCCGAACCATGAATCATTTTGAAGTCCTGGCGGAGGACAAGCCATTTTCAAGTCCTGGCGGAGGACAAGCCATTTCTAACGACTCGGTCAGGTCTGCCAATGTTGAGTTTCTCTGCCGCCCGAGCCATTTTGCTTCGCTGCTGTCGCGACGGCTCGGCATGTTTTGGAGACTTGGCAACCATCAGCAACACCGCGCAAAACGAAAGAGCACATTGAGGGTTCTGCAGTACGCTTGAATGCTTCTCCAAATCACGTCGGACCACACTCCGAGTTCCCAGTTTGCGCGCGCACTCTTGCGACTTCGATCGCAAGCGGAAGGATAACGATGAGCAGGCCAAAGAGCAGGATGACGGGGCAGAGGGGAAGGAGGAGGGGCAAGAGGAGGATTGGTTTGCGTGAGCAGCAGCGCCGCGCGCTAGATGTGAGTTACAGGGCAGCGACCTGTGATACATGACATGACAGAGATGCGCTGAGTGCTGGGCGCGCCAGGTTGGGGGCTGGAGGTGCAGTAAACCAAGGAAGGTTGCCGGCGCGAGTTCCTGCCTGCCGCCACCCTCAGGAGAACTCCCCGCCGTGCTCCGCAGCGTATTCCAACGCTCAGGTGGGGTGCCCACGTCTCCTGCTGGCGAAAGGCAGCTGCGGAGGGATCTTTGACAGGGGGCAGCGACAGCGCCATGCGTCACGCGACGTCCCAGAGCCCTGCGCTGCGCTCTATGATGCAACAGCGTCGCGAGCGGAAAGCGGGGAAGTAGACGGAAGTTCAGTGGATCGCCGTGGCATTGGGCCGCGGCCATGCTCTCAAAGCTTCGCCACGGAGAGTACACAAGTGCGGCTTAGTCGCGACCACGCAGGAACGGGAAGCGCCGATTGTGCCAAATCGGTTCGCAAGACGAAACAACACAGTGAGGAGGCCGAGCAGCTGGCTTATGAAAGGGAGGACAGTGACGAGGACCGCGGGAAAGCGAGGATGATTAGTCGGATGGCAGCTGGGGAAGCCAAGCGCTGGGTCGAGGATGACGATGAGGGGGATGAGGCTGAGAAGTTGCGACAATATCGACGAAGAGTGGGAGGAGGACTGCAGCGTGGAGAAGGAGGAAGACACCGCGGACGAGGAGGGGGAGAGCGGGGATGACAAGGAGGAGGAGGAGGAGGAGGAGTCTTTCGAGAAGGAGGAGGGCGACGCGGAAGACGAGTGAGACAGGGCGGGAAATAATAATGACGATGGGGATGACGACTATGAGAAAGACAGCGTGAAGAACAGCGTGGAGGAGAATCAGGGCAGGAAGGGGGGGCGAGAAGGAGAGCGACAAGGAGGAGGACAGCGAAAAGACGGGCAAGTGGGGAACACGACGGAGGGGTGTGGAAGAGGCAAGCATAGGTGTGTATGTGCACAGCTTTTTCGAGCCCCTCGAGGTGGCGTCGCTCGTCTCGACGCGGTGGTTCCGCTTCAGCGCCTGGATGCTGTCCCACAGGCTGGCGGTCTTGGCCGTGGTGGCCGTGGCCTTCGCGCCCGCGCTGCTGCGCCTGCCGCACATGGAGGTGTCCAGGTCCCCGATGCAGCTGGTGCCCCGCGGCCACGAGGCTGGGCTTAGGTCGGGCGTGTCCTTCTACAGGAGGGATCGTCAGAAACAGTCAGAAAATAGTCCAGGGGTGATTGTTTGACTATTATTGAGCATTTTGGGGCATTTTGCGGGTACTCTTTATTTTCGTCCAAAATCCGCCCGTCGGGGGACACGCCCGACCTGAGGCTGGGCTGGGCTTCGCCCGTCTGTTGGACAAGTTCGGGGCCGGCATGCTGTGGCCCACCAAGGTCGCGATGGCGTCGAACAGCCGAGATGATCGATGAGTTAGCCAGCTTCTCTTCCTCCTCTTCCTCCTCCCCTCCTCTTCCTCCTCCTCCTCCTCTTCCTTCTCCTCCTCCTCCCCATCCCCCTTCCTTCTCCTCCTCTTCCTTCTCCTCCTCCTTCTCCTCCTCCTTCTCCTCCTCCGCCTCCTCCTCCTCCGCCTCCTCCTCCTTTTCCTCCTCCTCCTCCTCCCCCAGCTTTCCTCGCCCGTTCGGCCCGATCGTCGTGGGGGAAAATCATATTAGTATCCGCGGCCTCGTGGGGTGGGCCCTTGGGCGTTTTTTCCGCGGATGCCCCGCGCGAAGCGTGTCCGTGCAGCCTCCTATCCGCGGGATCGCGCCCCGGAGTACAGATCGCGAGGCCGCGGATACGGATAGTTCCCCACATGTTTCGTGGGGTTATGGTTTTCTTCCCTGCCGCGTCGCACCCGCGACGCTCACTCACCTCCCTCTTCCCCTCCTCCCTCTTCCTCTCTCACCCACACGCAACACCTGCACGGCACGTGCATGAGATACGCGTCTACATACAGCCGCACGCATGCACATATTCGCACACACACCATACAAAGCTAGTGCACGCCTGGCGTGTTCACTGCATCACACACCCACGACTGCATCATGGGCGCACACACACACACACACACACGTGAGGCACACGTCCCGATACGGCCGCACACGCATCATACACATACGCATGACATGCCATATGCAAGAAGTGCGTGTAGGATTCGCAGTGCATGGCAGGAGGCTCTACGCGGGCCATTGGCGCAGGGCCCAGCAGGCGTGGCACTTTCTCGTCACCAGAGGGGGTGCGCAGGGGGTGGTCCCTTAGCGCGGCTTCTATACGCGCCAATGTCGCAGGGCCCAGCAGGCGTGGCATGTTCTCGACTCCTGAGGGGGTGCGCAGGAGGTGGTCCCTCAGCGCGGTTTCTATACGCGCCAATGTCGCAGGGCCCAGCAGGCGTGGCATTTTCTCGGCACCAGAGGGGGTGTGCAGGGGGTGGTCCATCACCGCGGTTCCCATACGCCCCAAATGTCGCAGGGGGTACTCTCTCGACACCAGAGGGGGTGCGCAGGGGGTGGTCCCTCAGCGCTGTCTTTATACGCGCCCATGTCGCATGGCCTAGCAGGTGTGGCACTTTCTCGACGCCAAAGGGGGTTCACGGGGGGTGGTCCCTCAGCGCGGTCCCTATACGCGCCAGTATCGCAGGGCCTAGCAGGCGTGGCACCTTCTCGACACCAGAGGCGGTGCGCAGGGGGTGGTCCCTCACTGCGGTACTCATACGCGCCAATGTCGCAGGGCCTAGCAGGCGTGGCACCTTTTCGACACCATGCAGAGGCGGTGCGCAGGGGGTGCGGTCGCTATACGTCTCGGCCTCGCAAAGCGTGGCAGGCGTGGCACTTCCTCGGCGCCACAGGCGGGTGTGCTGGGGGTGCGGTCGCTCTGCGTTTCGGCTTCGAAACGAGTGGCAGGCGTGACACTTCGTCGATGCCACAGTGGGTGCGCTGGGGGTGTGGTCGCTATCCGCTTCGGCCTCGCCGAGCGTGGCAGGCGTGGCCCTTTTCTCGACGCCACAGGGGGGTGCGCTGGGGGTGCGGTCGTTATCCGTTTCGGCCTCGCAGAGCGTGGCAGGCGTGACACGTCCTCGACGCCACAGGGGGGTGCGCTGGGGTGCGGTCGCTATCCGCCTCGGCCTCGCAAGCGTGGCAGGCGTGGCACTTGCTCGACCCAACAGGGGGTGCGCTGGGGGCGCGGTCGCTATCCATTTCGGCTTCGCAAAGGGTGGCAGGCGTGGCACTTCCTCGACGCCACAAGGGGTGCGGTCGCTATACGTTTCGGGCTCGCAACAAGTGGCAGGCGTGGCACTTTCTCGATGCCACAGGGGGTACGCTGGGGGTGCAGTCGCTACGCGCTTCGGCTTCGCAAAGCGTGGCAGACACTTCCTCGACGCCACAGGGGGGGCGCTGGGGGTGCGGTCGCTATCCGCTTCGGCCTCGCAAGGCGTGGCAGGCGTGGCACTTGCTCGACCCAACAGGGGGTGCGCTGGGGGTGCGGTCGCTATCCATTTCGGCTTCGCAAAGGGTGGCAGGCGTGGCACTTCCTCGACGCCACAAGGGGTGCGGTCGCTATGCGTTTCGGGCTCGCAACGAGTGGCAGGCGTGGCACTTTCTCGATGCCACAGGCGGGTGTGCTGGGGGTGCAGTCGCTATGCGCTTCGGCCTCGCAGGGCGTGGCAGACACTTCCTCGACGCCACAGGGGGGGCGCTGGGGGTGCGGTCGCTATCCGCTTCGGCCTCGCAAGGCGTGGCAGGCGTGGCACTTGCTCGACCCAACAGGGGGTGCGCTGGGGGTGCGGTCGCTATCCATTTCGGCTTCGCAAAGGGTGGCAGGCGTGACACGTCCTCGACGCCACAGGGGGGGCGCTGGGGGTGCGGTCGCTATCCGCTTCGGCCTCGCAAGGCGTGGCAGGCGTGGCACTTGCTTGACCCAACAGGGGGTGCGCTGGGGGTGCGGTCGCTATCCATTTCGGCTTCGCAAAGGGTGGCAGGCGTGGCACTTCCTCGACGCCACAAGGGGTGCGGTCGCTATGCGTTTCGGGCTCGCAACGAGTGGCAGGCGTGGCACTTTCTCGATGCCACAGGGGGTACGCTGGGGGTGCAGTCGCTATGCGCTTCGGCCTCGCAAAGCGTGGCAGACACTTCCTCGACGCCACAGGGGGGGCGCTGGGGGTGCGGTCGCTATCCGCTTCGGCCTCGCACGGCGTGGCCGGCGTGCACTTGCTCGACCCAACAGGGGGTGCGCTGGGGGTGCGGTCGCTGTCCGTCTCGGCCTCGCAAAGCATGGCAGGCGTGACGCTTCCTCGACGCCCCCGGGGGTGCGGTCGCTATGCGTTTCGGGCTCGCAACGAGTGGCAGGCATGACACTTTCTCGATGCCACAGGGGGTACGCTGGGGGTGCACTCGCTACGCGCTTCGGCCTCGCAAAGCGTGGCAGACACTTCCTCGACGCCACAGGGGGGGCGCTGGGAGTGCGGTCGCTATCCGCTTCGGCCTCGCAAGGCGTGGCCGGCGTGGCACTTTCTCGACCCAACAGGGGGTGCGCTGGGGGTGCGGTCGCTGTCCGTCTCGGCCTCGCAAAGCATGGCAGGCGTGACGCTTCCTCGACGCCCCAGGGGGTGCGCTGGGGGTGCGGTCGCTATCTGTTTCGGCCTCGCAAAGCGTGGCAGCCGTGGCACTTCCTCGACGCCACAGGGGGGTGCGCTGGGGGTGCGGTCGCTCTGCGTTTCGGGCTCGCAACGTGTGGCAGGCGTGGCACTTTCTCGATGTCACAGGGGGTACCCTGGGGGTGCGGTCGCTATCCGTTTCGGCTTCGCAAAGCGTAGCAGGCGTGGCCCTTTCTCGACGCCACAGGGGGTGCGCTGGGAGTGAGGTTGCTATCCGTTTCGGCCTTGCAACTCTCCTCCGGACTGGCGTCACCAACGGTATCGACGGGGCAACGGCCACCAACATCATTCTCACATGCTTCACTTCAGTTATCATCACTCCAGCCATAATATAGGTATGTGGGGTTCCTCGGTAGCGTAATTCTGCTCGCCGCTCGTGGTCAGCATATGTCTGAGCTCCGCGCGGAGCTCTTGGATTGGCGTTGGGCCCCCGTGGCGGCGCCTCCGGCGCCGCCCCTGGCGCGTGGAGCGCGCGCCATGGAGGCCCAGCGGAAGAGGAGAGAGGAGGAGGAGGGAGGAGGAGGAGGAGGAGGAGAGGAAGGAGAGGAGGAGGAGAGGGGCCCCCAGAGGAGGAGGAGCCCGGCCCAGCGCCGATCCAAGAAGTCGCGCGAAGCTCAGGGTGTGGCCGCCCGTGGCGCTGGCTGGAGTCTGGCAGCGGCCCCTTCGTTCCCGCTCGCCCCTGAGAGCTCCTCCCCTCCTCCTCCTCCTCCTCCTCCTCCTCCTCCTCCTCCTCCTCCTCCTCCTCCTCCTCCTCCTCCCTCCTCCTCCTCCTCCCTCCTCCTCCTCCTCCTCCTCCTCCTCCTCCTCCTCCTCCTCCTCCTCCTCCTCCTCCTCCTGTGTCCTCTCCAGAGGCGAGGATTTCGATTCCTCGCAGCACCACCTGAGCGGCACACCGCCTCAAGGAAGGCGGCCGCGAGTGGCCTAAGTGCTCCCTTAAGGGAAGCGACTTCTGTTGTCGTTCACGCACAGTTCCCACAGTTCCTCCTCCTCCTCCTCCTCCTCCTCCTCCTGAATCGCAGCATCGCGAAAGTTCACGACCAGAGCCCTAGACCTCACCTTTCTGCAGCCTTCATCGAGCCGGACCGATCTGTGACGGCTCTGGGGCCCGAGCGCGGAAACGCCAGCGTGAAAGCATGGCAACGCCCGGATCTCAGAGGAGGCGCCCCCCGTGGACGCCGTTCGGAATTTTGAGGCTCAAATGTTGTTCCCAACCCTCCTGCGTCGGGTTCTCGTTTTGGGAAGAGCACGATGGTCGAGCCTCCCTTCTCACCCCCTCCTGCCTCCTGCCTCCTACTTTCTGCCTCCTGTCTCCTCTTCCTTCTCTCCCTCTTTCTCCCTTCTCTCCTTCGTCCTGCTTGCGTTGCAGCGCCGTTGTGACTCTGCCTCTCTCGTGTGCTCCTGCGATGAAAGTGCGAAGCTATCGCCACTTTAGTGGGTTCCTGGGAGGTCCAGCAGAGTGGGGTTGTAAACAGACCCAGCCGAGAACTCGCTGGTCACTGGGGGGCTGCGAAGTGCGCAGTTGTCGCCAATGGCTCCTGGGAGGCCCAGCGGAGTGGAGTTGTGAACAGACCCAGCCGAGACCTCGCTGGGTATTGGGGGGCTGCGAAGTGTGCAGCTGTCGCTGATTTCGTGGGCTCCTAGGAGCTCCATCGGCGTGGAGTAGTAAACAGACCCGGCCGAGACCTCGCGGGTCACTTGTGGTCTGCGAAGTGCGCAGTTGTCGCCAATTTCGTGGGCTCCTGGGAGGCCCAGCGGAGTGGAGTTGTGAACAGACCCAGCCGAGATCTCGCGGGTCACTTGTGGGCTGCGATGTGCGCAGTTGTCGCCGATTTTTGTGGGCTCCTGGCAGGCCCAGCGGAGTGAACAGACCCAGCCGAGATCTCGCGGGTCACTGGGGGGGTGCGAAGTGCGCAGTTGTCGCCAATTTCGCTGGGTCGCTTCTGCCCTCCCATCCCATCGGCACACGCCTCACTCGGTTTCGTGGCCCTCGGGCCCCACTTGGAAGGTTCGCATGGCGCCGCTGCCCCATTTCGGCACCCATCACACGCTTCGTGGTTCCATAGAGAGCTCCACCTGACTCCCCACTGGGAGGGTTCGCGTGGCACCGCCGATCCATTTCGGCACACCCCTCGCACGTTTCGTGGCCCCAGAATGAGCTCCACTGAAGGCCCGACTGGGATCGTTCGCGTGACACCGCCGCCCCATTTCGGCACACCCCTCGCACGTTTCGTGGCCCCAGAAGGAGCTCCACCTAAGGCCCGACTGGGAGGGTTCACATGGCACCGCCGTCCCAGTTTGGCACACCCCTCACACGCTGCGTGGCTCGATAGGGAGCTCCACCTCAGGCCCCAGTGGGAGGGTTCGCATGGCACCGCCGCCCCATGTCGGCACACCCCTCACACGCTTCGTGGCCTCAGAGGGAGTTCCACCTAAGGCCCGATTGGGAGGGTTCGCGTGGCACCGCCAGCCCATTTGGGCGTGCCCCTCATCCACATGGCGGCCCCGCCCCATCCTCGCACACCCTTCACACGCTTCGTGGCCCCATGAGAAGATCCACTGAAGGCGATACTCACAACGACGGTACTCACAACTGCATATGGTTGGGTCTTTCGCCAGGATCGTTCAAGTGGTCATTCGTCCCAGGCGAAGGCAAATTGCAGGAAATGATAACAAATTCCAGCAACGTTTCAGTGCGTATGCTTCAGATCACGCGTGCGTCTGAAGATGAGAGAGAGCGTGATCCACCGCCGCTTTACTGTGGAAAATTGCCAACCTTTTCCTCCGGAACCCGGAGGTCTCCCCCCCCCCCTCCGAAAATCCCCCCCCCCTGCCGGAACCCCACCCCCCCCCCCCCCCGGCAAAACCCCCCCCCTCCCCTAACCCCTCCCCCCCCCCTCCCCCTCGAAAACCGGGGGGGGGTCACTACCGGTTCGAACCCTTCCCCCCCCCCCCCCTCCGGATCCGGAAAACCGGGGGGGGTGGTTGGAACCCCCCCCCCCCTCGAAAACCGGAGGGGGTCACTACCGGTTCGACCCCCCCCCCACGCACCGCCAGCAAACGACTCCCGGTCCCTACCACCGCTCGCATCACATCCCCCACTGTTGTTCCCAGCACCACTGTCCTCACCACCACTGTCCCCACTGGTTCCACCACCGTCCCTATTGTCCCCACCAATGCCCCCACCACTGTCGCACTGTCCCCACTGTTCCCACAACTGTTCCCACCACGGTTCCACTCTCCCCACTGTCTCCACGGACCCAACCACTGCCTATCCCCACTGTCCCCACTGTCCCACTGACTCCTCCGCTGTCCCACTGAGCTGTCCCACTGTTTCCACCACTGTCCCCACTGTCCCCACCACTGTCCCCACTGTACCTCTGTCCCATTGTCCCACCGCCGTCCTCGCCACCGCCTTTACCAGTGTCCCCACCACCATTGTACCCTCCACTGTCCCAGTGTTTCCACCTCATTCCCACTGTCCCCACACCACTGTCCCCACCACCACCGTTCCCACCACTGTCCACTGTCCCCCCTGTTCCCACCATTGTCCCCACCACTGTCCCCACCACTACCGTCCCCACCACTGTCCCACTGTCCCCCCACTGTCCCCACCACTGTCCCGCTGTCCCCTCACCACTGTCCCCACCAACACCGTCCCCACCACTGTCCGCACCCCCACTCGGTTTTCGAGGGGGGGGGGGGTTCGAACCGGTAGTGACCCCCCCCCCCTTTTCATGATGAGCTGGGGGGGGGGGGGGGAGGGGTTCGAACCGGTAGTGACCCCCCCCGGTTTTCCGGAGGGGGGGGGGGGGGGAGGGGTTCGAACCGGTAGTGACCCCCCCCGGTTTTCCGCCAGCAGCGGTAGAACACGCTCTTTCGAAGATGAGTGAGCCTGAGCGCGAGATATCTAGCATAAACTGAGTATGCGTGGGTCTTTTTGCTCGGGGCATCGCCGGCGAACCGTCTATGTAGAAAATCCGTTGGGAAAAAGTGCAACGTGAAACATGGGATCTCGCGATTGCATGGCCGCTTGCGCTTTCTTCGAGGAGGGCAGGACATGGCAGGGCCTGCCGATCATGAGCAAGACTTCGCAGGGCTATCTGCATTCCGCGTGGTCTCGCAGGCACTTTAGAGGCTCTGTGCGAGCGTTGGCAAACACGCCGGGGTCAATTTGGGTGACTTTGGAACACGTTTGTTGGAAAAGAACCCAAACGCAGTCTGGCGGCATTTTGGAGGCGCTTCGCGAACGTTTGCGAGCACTTCGGGACCGCTCTCCGTTGCGTTTCATCAAAATCGAAGCATTGCGAACGTTTGCAAGTGGGAGGCATTTTTGGGCACCTTCGGTCACTTCAGGGGGCACTTTTCGGATAAGCGGCCCAGAGCATTCTGGAGGGGCCGCGGAAGCGCCTTGCGAACATTGGCGGGCAGCTTGGAGACGGCTGGGGGAGCATGTCCGGGCACCTTTGGGCGCGTTCGAAGCCTTGCGAGCGTTAGCGAACGTTTGCGCGCACGTTGGGGGCACTTTGTTATCGTTTTGCTGGACTTTGCGAACGTTTGCGAGCATGTCGAAATCATTTTCTTGTTGGACACTTCTGGGCACCTTTGCATACGTTGGAAGCACTTTCGGACACTGTGGGGGACTTTTGAAGCATGTTTGCAAATGTTAGCGAAAGTTCGCAGGCACGTCTGATGCACTTTTGGTCACGTTTGGGCACGTTTGCTGGAACAGTGCACAAAAGTGACCAAGAGTGCGCAAAAGTGCTTCCGACGTGCGTGCGAACGTGCGCAAATTCTGCAAAAGAGCCCAGATGCGATCCCTAAGTGATTGCATACGTGCACACGTCTGTAAAGCGGTTCCGTGATATTTTCGGCGAATGTGTCTGCAAACGCTCGCAGACGTTCGCGAAAGTCCCGGAAGTGTTTGCAAAGTGTTTGCAAACGTTCGCAAAGTGTTTCAACAGTGGCCCGAAGTGTTTCCGAATTGCTTGTAAACGTTCGCAGAGTGCTTCCAAAGAGCCTGCAGAATGCTTCTTGAGCATTCTGCCAGGAAGTGAAAATGCCCAACTTGCTTCCGACGCGGTTGGAAACGTTCGCAAGTTCTTGCAAAGTGTTTCAAAAACGTCCGACAAATGAAGGAGGAGGACGATGAGAGGGAGGAGGAGGAGGAGGAGGAGGAGGAGGAGAAGGAGGAGCAGGAGCAGGAGCAGGAGCAGGAGCAGGAGCAGGAGGAGGAGGAGGAGGAGGAGGAGGAGGAGGAGAGTGAAACATAAGAGAAGGAGGAGGAGGAGGAGCAGGAGGAGGAGGAGGCGGAATAGGAGAAGCGAGATGAGGATGCGGAGTCGGACGAGGAGGAGTCGGACGAGGAGGAATGAAGAGGGGTGGAGGAGGAGGGTGGGGAAGAAGAGGGCGGGAAGGATGAGGAAGAGGAGTGGGGCGGGGGATGGTGGAGCGGGAGGACGGAGATGGGATAGGAGGGCGATGAGGAGGAGAAGGATGACGAGGAGGGGGGGTGAGGACGATAACTACGATAGGGTGCGAGCGAGATCAATGGTAATGGTAATGATCATATTAGTAGCAGCGGCAGCAGCAATAGGCAGTAGTTAGTGCTTGCCGTCGTTCTTGTACCTGCTGCTTCTGTGTTGCTGTCAGGGGGCGCTGTGGAGGCACTTTGCGAACGTTCGCGAGCGCTTGCGGGCACTTGGGGGGTACTTCTGGGCACCGTTGACTCGAGAAAAGCTCCCATGGGTCTCATTCTGACCCCCTGGTCCGCGCGCGTGCCTAGCTGGGGCCATGACTTGCGACCGCTGGGCCCCAGGACCGCCAAAAGAGGTCTCAGGATGAAGAGTCGGCCCCAGACCTCCCAGGACACCGCATTACGAAATTCAGGGCATCGAATGCCTGGGTGATGCGCGCCGACAGAGGGAGTTGGCCCACGGGGACTGGTGTGCACGGCACAGCGTCGGCGTCTCTCGAGGCGTCGTCGATCCTCGGCCCTGAAATGGTACGGTGCATAGTCTTGTTGGCCCCTTAGGGCCGAACTGCGGTGCACCGTACTCTATTGGAGCGGGGCCTGGACGGAGTCCGAACATGGCACCCCTGCAGAGGTCTCGACCCATGCCCCAGTGTTCTCCTTCCTTGCTTGACAGTCACGAGGCCCAGCGAGGGCCCCCAGTGGCCGGAAATCGTGAAACGTTGCCCTTCGTATTTTTGCACGGCCCAAGGAGGTCTGGGCACGCCTACCAGACATCTCAAGAAAAGCCACCGTTTTCATGGACTCAAGATTCCGCTTACGAAATACAGTAATCTGAACTGGACCCTGGGCGTTTTCTTCGATCTTTGTTTTGGTTTGTAGAACTTTTGCACATCTGGACCTGGACTGCTGTTTGAGAAAACGCTTGGAGTGAAGCCGATTTTCCTAGCGTAGATCTGTCTTAACTCTGAGCAGGGGTGTCCAGTGCACGGGTGCCGTTCTCGGGGAGAGGTGCTGGTGCTGCCGCCTCCGGGGGAGACGGTCTTCTCGGAGTCATTCTTCAAGAGGGTGGCGTCGGTCGTGGAGTCGTTGCCGAGCCAGCTGCCGCTCTCGCCGAGGTACTCCGTGCAGAGCCTCGTCTACTCGTCCGACGCGGGGGGGGCCATTCCATTCGCAACTGTTCGGGCCGCGCTGCCCGAGCTCCGGGATGTGAGCGGAGGGAACGGTCCACATACCGCCACCCTTCCCTCGTTTTCGCCTTATGGCGCCTCCTGGGAGGCCCTCGTCGCCACAGAATTCGCCTCGAAATCGAACACACCCTGGGAGAGGTCCGGGGAGTAGCGGTATCGGTACCTGTTGTTTTCCCCAGGATGCTGGCCATGGCGACGGCGCGGAATTGCTGTGCGACGTGGCCGCTGGAGCTGTAGGCATGGACGCGTGCCAGCTGATCCGACTGGCTCGCCAGAAGTTCGTCAACGCCAATGGCACCGCGATGGTGCTGAACATCGCACTGGATTCGGATCCCTGGACGCCCGCGAGCACACGGTGGCTGCATTCGCTGCGCAGGGCCTGCGAGATCTTCGGGGGTTCCACAGACCAATATCTTGTAGTCAGCAACCCCTCGTCTGTGAACGATACCGTGGATGGCGTCTACGCCTCCGCTCCTCTTGTCGTCCTGGTAACAGGCTGTGGCGTATTTGCCATCGTCTCGGCGAGCTTCCGGTCGGTCGTTGTGCCGCTGAGGCTGCTGCCGTCGATAGCGCTGACCATCATCTGGACGTACGGCCTGGCGGTGATGGTCTACCAGGATGGTGTGCTGGCCGGCCTCGGCATCAGCTGCCTCTCGCCGATCGGCCATGGCGGAATCCCGGGCGTCAGCTGGGTGCTGCCGCCCATCTGCTTCACGCTCCTGACGGGGCTGTGCCTGGACTACGACAGCTACGGGGCCCAAAGGTATACACCATGACCGCCACCTCCCTCATCCTCTCCCTCTCCCAGGAAAGAGGAGGGCGGATGAGTGGAGGAATCGACGTGGTGGTGTATATTCTTGGGGCCCGCAACATCTTCGTACTAGCGAGGATCGTCGAGTTCCGCCTGGCCGGCTACGCGGATCGAGACGCGGTGCTGCTGGGGGTCAGCGCCTCGGGGCCGACCATCACGGTGGCGGGCTGCATCATGATGGTAGCATTCAGCGGCTTGATGATGTCGGACCAGCTGCTGCTCAACGAGCTCTCCTTCATCCTCCTGGCGTGCGTCGTGATAGACACCTTCGTGGTGCGCAACATCGTGGTGCCCCTGTGCATGGACGTGCTCGGCGGCCTGAGCAACTGGTGGCCCCGTCGGATGCCGGAGCCCTGCCGCGAGATCCCCTGCCGCTGAGGGCCGGCTGGGGATGCGGTGTCCGCCAAGCTGACCCGCCTCTCAAAATTCGCCAGGAAGGAAATGGGGTGCTGAGGGAAACGGGTCGGAGACCCAATGATGAGGATGACGATGAAGATGAGGATGATGGTGATGATGATGATGAGGAGGAGGATGAGGACGCTGATGCTGACGCTGATGTTGACGCTGAGGACGCGGATGAGGATGTGGATGGGGATGGGGACGAGGATGATAATGAGATGAGGATGAGGACGATGCTTCTGATGAGGATGTTAATAATGATTATGATGATGATGCTGATGATGATGCTGATGATGATGATGATGCTGATGCTAATGCTGTGGATGAGGATGAGGATGAAGATGTGGATGGGGATGGGGACGAGGACGATCATGATGATTTTGACGGGGATGAGGATGAGGATGAGGATGATTATGATGCTGATGCCTATGATGATGATCCTGATGATGATCCTGATGATGATGACGACGACGATAACAATGGACAATGGTGATGATGCTGATGATGACGATCACGGTAGTGGTGGTAGTGTTGGTGGTGGTGATGATGATGCCGATGTTGTTGCTGATGGTGATGATGATAATGATGATGCTGATGTTGATGCCGATGCTGATGGGGATGAGGATGAGGCTGATGATGTTGTTGCTGCTCATGATGATGCTTATGATGCTGGTGATGATGCTGATACTGATGCTGATGATGATGATGATTATGATGCTGGTTATGATCATGCTGACGATGATGACGAGGATGATGATGATCTGATGATGACGATGATGATGAAGAGGAGGATGCTCTCTGATGATGGTGATGGTGATGATGATTGTGATGGTGGCGGTAGTGGTGGTGATGCTGTTGATGATGACGTTGACGATGATGATGATCATGCTGACGATTTCGATGATGCTGATGATGATGATGAAGAAGATGACAATGCCGATGATGATGATGATGATGGTGGTGGTGATAGTGACGATGATGATGATGATGATGATGATGATGATGATGGTGACGATGGTGATGATGATGATGATGATGATGATGATGATGATGATGATGATGCTGATGATGATGATGATGATGATGAGGAGGAGGAGGAGGAGGAGGAGGAGGAGGACGAATTGAATGAGGATGAGGATGATGATGCTCCCTGGTGCTGCGCTGCTGCACGTGTGGCGGCACAGCGTGACAGAAAGGCGGTGGGCCCAGCCAGGGGTCCGAGAACCTGGCTCTGGACTCGCTTGCAACGTCCCAGGGTCAGAGACCTTGGGATCTCCCCGCAGACCGGCTCTCCGTCCTGAGTGTTCTTTCCCCTCCTCTTCCTGCTCCTCCTCCTCCCCCTCCTCCTCAGCCTCCTCCTCCCCCCCCTCCCCCCCCTCCTCCTCCTCCTCCTCCTCCTCCTCCTCCTCCTCCTCCTCCTCCTCCTCCTCCTCCTCCTCCTCCTCCTCCTCTTCCCCCCCTTCTCCTCCTCCTCCTCCTTCTCCTCCTCCTCCTTCTCCTCCTCCTCCCCCTCCTCCTCCTCCTCCTCCTCATCATCTCATCATCATCATCATCATCACATCATCATCATCATCATCATCATCATCATCATCATCATCATCATCATCATCATGATCATCATCATCATCATCATCATCATCATCATCATCATCATCATCATCATCATCATCATCATCATCATCATCATCATCATCATCATCTTGTGGTGTTGGGTCCTCGCTTTGAATCGGCAGCGCCCCGTGTCTCCTCACGTCGTCGTCATCATCGTCACCCGCATCAGCGCCATCGTGACTAGCGCTAGCATCCCTCACACGTTTCGTAACCCCACAGGTAGCTCCACCCAAGGCCCCTGTGGCAGGGTTTCGCATGGCGCCACCGCACCCACCGAAGGCCTCAGTGGTTGGCTTCTTATGGCGCCACCGCACCCATTTCGACACACCCCTCACGCTGTTCGTGACCCCACAGGGAGCTCCCCCGAAGGCCCCAGAGGGAGGGCTCGCATGGCGTCACTGCACCCATGTTGGCACACCACCCCTCACACGCTTCGTCACAATGGGGGCTCCACCGAAGGCCGCAATGGAGGGCTTGCATGGCGCCACCGCGTCCATTTCGGCACACCCCTCACAGGTTTGTGGCCCTATGGGGAGCTCCACCAAAAGCCCCGGTGAGGGTGCGCATGGCACCACCTCGCCAATTTCGGCTCACCTCTCGCACGCTTCGTGACCCCATATGGAGCTCCACCGAATGCCGCAGTGGCAGGGTCCGCATGGCGTCACGGTGCCCATGTCGGCACACTCATCACACGTTTCGTGGCCGCATAGGGGGGGCGAAGGCCCCAGTGGCAGGGTTTGCAGGGTGCCACCGCGCACATGTTGGCACACCCCTCACACGCTTCGTGACCCCCCCATAGGGAGCTCCACCGAAGGCCCAACTGGCAGGGTTCGCATGACGCCATCGCGTCCATGTCGGCACACACCTCACACGCTTCGTGGCCCCGTGGGGAGCTCCACTGCAGGCTTCAGTGGCGGGGTTCGCATGGCGTCACCTCGCCCATGTCGGCAAACACCTCACACGTTTCGTGGCCCCATGGGGTGCTGCCCTGCAGGCCTCAGTGGCAGGGTTCGCATGGCGCCACCGCGCCCATGCCTGCACATGCCGCACACGTTTCGTGGCCCAAAAGGAGTTGCCCGGCAGTCCTCAGTGGCAGGGTTCGCATGCACCGCTCCCATTTCGGCACACCCCTCACAGAGCTCCACTGCAGGCTGCAATGACAGGGCTCGCATGGCGTCGACGCACCCATCCCGGCACACTCCTCACACGTTTCGTGGCCCCATGGGGTGCTGCCCGGCAGGATTCAGTGGCACGATTCGCATGGCATCACAGCGCCCATGTTGGCACACCCCTTACACGCTTCTTGGCCGCATAGGGGGGGCTTCACCGAAGGCCCCAATGGCAGGATTCGCAGGGTGCCGCCGCACCCATGTCGGCACACACCTCACACGCTTCGTGGCCCCGTGGGGAGCTTCACCGAAGGCCCTAGTGGCAGGGTTTGCACGGCGCCACCACGCCCATGTTGGCACACCCCTCACTCGTTTTGTGACTCCATGGGGAGCTGCCCCGCAGGCTTCAGTGGCAGGGTCCGCATGGCGCCACCGCGCCCATGCCGGCACATGCCGCACACGTTTCGTGACCCCATAGGGAGCTCCACCGAAGGTCCCAATGGCAGGGTTCGCATGGCGTCACCGCGCCCATCCCGGCACACTCCTCACACGTTGTGTGGCCCCATGGGGAGCTCTATTGCAGGCTCCAATGGCAGGGTTCGCATGACGTCACCGCGCCCATGTCGGCACACACCTCGCACGTTTCGTGGCCCCATGGGGTGCTGCCCTGCAGGCCTCAGTGGCAGGGTTCGCATGGACCCGCCGCATCCATCCGGGCACACCCCTCACACGTTTCGTGAAGCCATTGGGAGCTCCACCAAAGGCCCCAGTGGCAAGGTCCGTGTCCGCGTCGGCACACCCCTCACACGTTTCGTGGCTTTGTGGGGAGCTGCGCAGCAGGTTTCAGTGGCAGGGTTCGCATGGACTGGCAGGGTTCGCATGGCGCCACCGCACCCATGTGGGCACACACACACACACACACACCTCACACGTCTCGTGACCCCACGGGGAGCTCCACCGAAGGCCCCAGTGGCAGGGTCCGCATGGCGTCACGGTGCCCATGTCGGCACACTCATCACACGTTTCGTGGCCCCATACGAAGCTCCACTGCAGGCTCCAATGGCAGGGTTCGCAGGGTGCCACCGCGCACATGTCGGCACACCCCTCACACGCTTCGTGACCCCCATAAGGAGCTCCACCGAAGGCCCCAGTGGCAGGGTTCGCATGGCGCCATCGCGTCCATGTCGGCACACATCTCACAGGCTTCGTGGAACCATGGGGAGCTCCACTGCAGGCTTCAGTGGCAGGGTTCGCATGACGTCACCGCGCCCATGTCGGCACACACCTGACACGTTTCGTGGCCCCATGGGGTGTTGCCCTGCAGGCCTCAATGGCAGACCCATAGGGAGCTCCACCGAAGGCCCCAGTGGCAGGGTTCGCATGGCGCCGCCGCGCCCATGCCGACACACCCCATGTGGGGTGGTGGGGTAGGTTTCGCATGTGGCCTCCTACACATGGAGTTGGTTTCGGAGCCGGTGCAGGCTCCCATTCAGCCCAGCGGGATCGCGCTGCGCCAGTGGATGGCGGCGTCGGCCACGGTTCTTGCCCCCGCGGGGAGCCTTGGCGCCGCGAAGTGCAAGGAGGACACCGTCGACCAGGAGTTCACTGCAGGTGCATGCGCTGACGAGCGGGAGTCGACGCCCCTGGCCTATAAGAACCTCATGGACGAGAAGGTCGCCCAGGAGATCAGTGCAGCGGAGTGCGTTGGCGCCCCGCAGCCGATGCCCCCGCTCAAGACCATTTCGATTGCAGAGGCGGCCGCCCAGGAGCTCAGTGCAGCGGAGTGCGCTGGCGTGCTGGAGCTGGCGGCCTTGGTCAAACCCAGGATGGAGGAGAAGGATGAGCGGAAGGATGTCCAGCGCAGGGCAGCGGGCCAACAGGGCCACGCAGCCTCGGCACCGCGCCGGGCGGAGGCCCAGGCGCCAGCCGACGCCAAGGCCGTCGAGCGGGCCAAGTGCAAGGCCCAGGGAGAAGAGAGCCCAGCTGCGCGCAGCGGCGGCGTGCACACCGCATCGGTAGGCGAGACGGCGGGCGGCTGCGGCAGTGGAGCCCCCGCCGGAGGGCGATGGGGCAGGAATTCGGCGCGGAGTTCCGCCGAAGGTGGCCCCCGAGGCGAAGAAAGCCAAGAAGCGCCAGGCTGAAGATGAGAGTCTCGACGCAACGATCCGCGTGGATGAGGCCGAGGCGCAGGACTTGGACCACGACCACAAGGCTTGGATCACGACCACAATGCGCTGCAGGTCGCCCCTGTGGACTTTTCACGGGCCCGAGGGGCTCCCAGTGGAGCCTGGACGAGGTGGTCAGCGGCCTCGTTGCGGC